AATGAAGTAAACTCATGTCGTATTTGAAGTCCGAAAAAGCCCAAATATATGCTATGTCGCTGGCCGCTCAGAACAATGAGTAAAACACGTGTCCTTACCGCTCACACGGCGCCTAAATATATACATAACAGAACACATCATGATTCCCCTGTGACTTGGATTAGCGTGTGTGAAAAGTTAGCAAGCTTGAATGAATGGCCAATCACGGTGTGTATGGGGCAGAAAACGTTACTTGAACCGACCAAATTGATGTCAGATTTTCTCCTAAGCCTTAGGAACAGAGGTCATGGGGTCAAGGCATGAACCACCTGACACATGTGAGGTTTTTTTAGCCCCTAGAGGATGTATTCCATTTAATTCTCTACACTGTTCCTGTCTACTCCTTTCATGTGTCTTCAATAATTTTGAAACGTAAATAAATATATGTTTAACAAGTTCATTAATGATCCGTGTAAAAAGGTTGTTTTTACAGATTTTTTTTTTTAAGAATTCTCACTGGATCATGACATATATTTGATTAAATTATTAAGTGTACCAGGGTGAAACGGTAAACTCATTCTGTTCTAAGAAGTTACTTTAAGTAATCAGTGTTTTGAGTCTAATGAGTTATGAGAACACTTTGGAACAAATTGGGTTGATATAGAAATTGGAACAATGTGTGTTGATGTAACAGCTGTATTTGCCATAGAGAGTTTTTTTCTCCTGTTCTTCACTTCACTGGCTGTAAACTTCAAGAGAAAGTTCTGGTTGCTCGCTGTTCCAGAAGTTGAGTTTTATGTGTACATCTGCTTTACAGATCTGGCTTATTTGTATGCAGCCTTAGTTTCTCACCTCTCAGGCAAGGTAGGTGAAAGCAAACACCCCTGGTCCCCCAAATCCCCCAAAATGTGGTGCTGAACTCATGTGGGTAATATAGATCTACTAATGAGGTGTTTCCATCGAAGTCAGTTCCGTCAAATGAATGTGCATGCAAAACTCTTAAGTCTTGGTAGAAGACTACTGTTCAAAAGTGGGTGAACAGCCAGAACTTTCTGCAGGAGTCACAGCCTGTGAACGTGAAGAAGAAGAAAAAGAAGCAGAAGAAGAAAAAGAAGCAGATGAAAAAGAAGAAAAAGAAGTAAAGTTTAATGAATTGTTCGTCAAGTTTTGTGCTAATGTACCACCTTTTGCAAATATCATCATCAACATCTCCTTCTGATAGTTAAAGTTGAAAGGATCAACTTCATTTCACTGGGTGTCTCCCATACAGCTTGGTCTCTCTCTGCAGAACAGCTAGCTACCTGCCAAGAACATTTCACTAGGCACAAACTCCCCACAGCCTTTGTGAAGATCTCCAAGGATTTCTGTAAAAGCTGCATCAGTGAACTAAATGACACATCTGTAAAACAAATCATGACATTCAGAGCTCCTGGCAAACAGCTTTGCCTTGAAGACTCCCTTATCACCTTTTGATGTGATTAGGTATGTCATCATTATCATTAGCCAATAAGTGGGGGCTGTCATGTTTCATCACCATGCACCACCAGAACCATGGATTAGTTTAATGTTTTTCCCCCTCACCCATCTATTTGGCCAGGACTCCCAAGTATTTATCGCTCTGCCTTCCTCTTGCTCTCTTAGCATCAATCTTGCCAGACTTTACCAATTTCTTGAGTCCATTCCTTACAATAAGTCTAAAAAAATAGTTTTCACTGTTTACATCTAATTGTTTGAATAACAAAAAAAACTGAAAAAATATCTAAACTACACTGTATAACAAAACACAATGTCACCAGCAACCTTTGGATTTGAACTTCCATATTCCAAAAAAGAGAAGCAGCAGCACAGTGACAACGGCCACAAAAATAGTCACAATAATGCTCTGAAAAGAAATATGAACATGCAAGTGGTAAATAAACTAAACATGCCAAACTTTAAAACAAGCAGAAACAACATGTAACAGTTTTTGTTATATAAAATTATTTTTACTGATAATTTTTACTTTTCCCTCACTCCTTGCTTGCATAGATCTTATCTGAAGGTACACAATTTGTTTTACTTTTAAGCAAATGTTACTAAGTATGAAAACATGGACTTTAATATGTACTATGTCACAGTACTATGAAGTGGAATAAGATGTTCTTTTACTTACCATCTTTTTTTACAGGAAATCTCAGTTACCCATTTTAAAAGCCCATTTCATTACTCACTGTCCACTGTAACTGTTCACACCTACACTGATACTAATTACTAGCACAACAGGCCATGAACAGTAAACTTTCTTTTCTTTATATCTTCAAGTAGGTGCAGACTTTAATATTTCAGTTTTTCCCGACGAAGTTTATTTATGTTTCCTGACTGTAACCAACAAATCTTGTTATGGCGATTCTGTCCGTTATAACTTGCGTTCATGTCTATCTAGTATCTGAATCTTCTTTAAAGAATTCATACATTATTTAACCTAAACTAGTACCTAAAGAACCATCGTAAAAACAGAGGAAAACTTACCATAGTAAGCTCAGAGACCCACAGCTGAGCATCCATCACGGAGCTGGGTCTGGTCAATAATGTCGAAGCAGACGACATATTCTCACTTGCCTTTATTCTGAAGTGAACTGAACTCAGCTCCCATTTGTATCCTTTCATAAACAAGAATAATCCTAGATATTCGTTTAGATAAGTTTATGCATGTTAAACAACGCATACCTTATTCTAGAACTGTGAATTCTGCTTATCGGAATGTACTTTAGCATTAATATTAACAAAAACACACTGATTACATCGTTGTCCATTTTTCCCCACACCACTGAACTCTGCTCCCATTTGAATGCTCTCACATACAAGAAATAATAATCCTATCTATCCGGTTATAAACACGTTGTGCATGTTGAACAACGCATATCTTATTCTAGAACCGCGAATTCTGCTTATCGGATTGTACTTTAACAGCAGAAAAAACAGCTGATTGCGGCGTAATTGAGAGCTGGTGGAAATTTTTGCAGAACTGGTCTCAGGCCTTCTTGTCTTCCCTGTTACAGGGGACGCCACTCTGCCTTCCCGGTCGTCTGCGAGGTGAATTTATGACTGCAAGTTTCGCCCGTAAGTTTGCTGTTCAAATACAGTTAATTTGAACCTGTTGTTGGTTGTCTTATGCACTAAATTAGAAATCAGATATCATTTATTACTTGTTGTTTTTTGAGATAACCAGTTAGTGGTTTAATTTGTGTGTGAAGAAGATACAGCCTTCGTTCGTTTAGCATGTACAATTTGCCCTTGCAATTATTGCAGCCCAGCTACACACTACACATGACTGCTCACCATACTTTACAAGACTATGAAACTTCTGAATTACACACGATTTATAATCTTTTCCTTGGTTCTGCTCTGTTCTGTAAAATCTTGTTGAAAATATGGATGGAATCCAGTCAGCACATTTGGCCCCTAGCCTCATCATTATTCGACGCATTCGTCTCAGTGTTTCTCTGGATTATCTTCATTTCCTCAATCAGTTCTATGAGTTCTTCTGCTGCAGTTGTTGAGATACATAACATTACGGTTGAAGGGGGTTTCTGAGATTTCTTCATGCGGGAATTCTCATCCAAAATGTGACTTTTTGTATCATTGAATGTTGAATTAATCAATCAGTGTGCAGTCCTAATGGGGTTCAACTTTACTCACCAGAAACAGAGAATTATGTTAGGCAATACATTGTGCAGTCTATTGTACGTCTTTATTAAAATTATGTTTTTGTTGTTTGTTTTTAGTTTAAATAATAAACAATATGTTACACAATGTCTGTAAGTGTTCTTGTAGCTATCACTTTACTACCCCCCCCCCCACCCCCACCCCCACCTCTACCCCCCCCCCCCCCCCACCCCCAAGAGATGATTTAAAAAAAAGTAATTAAATGGACCCTTTCCACACCTTCAGGCATATTGGGTATATAGGTCCAGACCTATATTTTATTGACCCAACGACAGTTGGTTGGTGTTGTGGTTAGCATCATGCCGGCTACCTTAACTTCTCAGCACTGTACCTGGTATCCACTCAAGGCTGGGTACACTAGGGAGCCAAGGTCATTTTTGAAAAAAGTCAGGACCCTGAAAGATGATTGCCCATGCTGAATGAGTTAATCAAGAGCTGACATCAGTCCACTCAGTACACTACCATCTGTGCTCAGTCTCTTTCCTCATTAGCTAACAAAGAGTTAACATGCAAATAGTGCCAGTTGCAGCCTGATTAAAAGTCTGCTTATGTTTTTCCTCAGCTTTGGATACTGAAGAAGAAGAATATTGTCCAGAACCTCTGCTCACCACCAGCTAAATCAGCCTTTCAAGGCATGGAAACTCTCTGTTCTGTTGCACTGTCTGCTTGATTCCTGAGAGCCTTCACCACATCCATTCTAGGTGCTTTATTAATATTATTAATATCTTACCCCAAACAGGGGAAATCTACAGGTCACAGAACAGTCTAATATTTCAGGGGGGGTTGTAGATAGGCTGCATGCAGTTTTGGGACCTAGGCTGCATGCAGTCGTGGGACCTAGGCTACACTCTCTTGTGGGATGTAGATGGGTTTTGGTTAGGACCAGTTCTAGATGTTTTGGGGTTGGTGAAAGCATCAGAAAGCCAGGAAACCCAGTCTTACCACCCTCTAAAATGTTGGACTGTCTTGTGACGTCATCTGGGGTAGGATATTAATAAAGCACCTCATTCTTTCATAAAGTAGCTCTTCATCCAGAGAAGGAGGAGCAGCCAATTTATCAGCCTGCTCATTAACCCATACACACATTCTGGACAAAAAATGCTTGATATGCTTCTGATCTGAGTCTTACGCTTATTGGCATGACACACAGTGCTGGAAGTGTAAAAGACACCTCCTGCATCAGACGACGGACCAACCATGAGAATGCTCAATTTTCAGGGCACTGATTTTGATATCATAATATGGCACACAATAATGTTGATGTAATTATACTTATTTCTGTTTTCTTCTTTCTTGTTTCAGTCTAGTTAAGGGCAATGGCTCTGAATTGCAGACCTTACTCATTCTTATGGGGCTGTGTGAAAGTGCAGCGTCAGATAAATTTACTGACACGAAGCTGTTGTCATCACATGGCATGTAACCGTTCACCCCTGCCACAGATGTCTGTGAGACAGTTGCATGTTCTGCCTTGTGGAACAAGTAGACCAGTTCTGACTTCCCACACACCAGCATTGTCAGTCTACAGGTTGTATGCTAAAAAGGGAAAAGAAAAAGGTAGTCTTTGAAAACAGTCTGTGTGAAAGGGTATTTGTTTGTGAAAGGGTGTGTCTGTGTGAAAGGGTGTTTGTATGTGAAAGGGTGTGTCTGAGTGAAAGGGTGTGTCTGAGTGAAAGGGTGTTGTGTGTGAAAGAGTGTTTGTGTGTGAAAGGGTGTTTGTGTGTGAAAAGGTGTGTCTGTGTGAAAGGGTGTTTGTATGGGAAAGGATGTTTGTGTGTGAAAGGATGTTTGTGTGTGAAAGGGTGTTTGTGTGTAAAAAGGGGTGTCTGTGCATGTGAAAGTCAGTATTCATGTGTGTGAAAGTCTGTGCACATGTATGTGAAAGTGTATGTGTGGTAGAGAAGAAGTTGCATGGGTCAGTAAATGTATGTTTGCATATGTATGTATATATATATTTGAGAGAGCGAGAGAGAGGAAGTCTGTACATGTGTGTGAAAGTGTGTGCATGTGTGTGAGAGAGAGAGCGAGATCATGTTTGTTTTAGCAAATGATATAATTGATTGCATTAACACATATGTTCATACCACACATAGGCACACATTCTACACACAAAGTAGACACAGCAAGATATAGATATAGGCGTTGAGAGAGATAAAATCAGTTTAAGATCCTTGATACTTTTAGCTTTGACAGAACTGACCTGCCCAGCATCAACACAGTTTTGAAACAGTCCCAACTCCACTGGGCCTGTCGTGTATAGTTCATTTGAAAAGTCGTGCTCTCACATTTTAAGAAATGTCTAGAAAATGTCTTTACAGGTCAAGACACATTTTTGCACATGGCCTTAGATTTCCCATGTCTTTGTGATTTTTATAACTTACTAATGCACAGGTGCTGCTGTTTTCTTAAAGCGGCGTATTTCTTTGATCATTGTTTGACTAATATTTTGTGTACCCCCTAAATATAGAATATATAATAATTTACACAGGCATGGAGATTGTTTCAAAATCATTTCACATGAACAGTGATGCACAGTTATTATTTTGATAGCCTATCCCGGATACAATGAAAAATTGTTCATCTAAGAACCCAGGCTGGAGATCACCACTCGAGAGTGAAACTCCCACAAGAGATGGGCATTTGAATGTTTTGAAAAGTTCCTGTTACTCAGAAAATGAGAACTAGATGTTTGTTTACATTTAAAACAATATTCAACAAGGACATGATTATTAAGAGGTTTATGCCAAATTGTAACAACTTACACTCAATAGTTACTGAGTTGCAGACTTTTAAAGTTGGGCATGATTTCTGGAACGAACTGTAGTCCACATGTCAGACAAACAATTGCCTCAAAGAATCTTTCATAATGAATGACATGATTAAGTTAAGCAAACCTCTTCCATGACAGACAAAAGAAGACGTTTTGTTTTTAACGCTATACAACTTTTGACGTCTTATTTGCACTTTATTGGTGTACTTTAGTGCGTGACTTGCAATCAACAAAAACCACCAAGAAAAATAATGAGTGCATGACTTTTAAAAAAAAGGGAGGCTAATTACAGTGAAATAATTACCTCCCCAAAAACTCTTTAGCATTCTTTGACTAAATGTTAAATGTAAGAGTTCTTCTTGATGAAGAAGTCAAGCCTTTTATCTCACGCTCTGAAGGTTGTGGGTTCATTTCATGGCTGAGTCTTTCAGGTCAGGAGTGCAGTTTTTCTGGAGATCCCTGAGGATCGTGGACTGAGCTGCTATGCTCATGCCTGGTTTAGTATTATCAGCAGGCGGCAAGACATTCTGCAGAGAAAGAGCGAGCCAAATGGGATACAAGTTTGTGCAATTAAATAGATCCTGTGTACTTGGACTTTAAAACTCACTCTCATCATCATCATGTACAGGTCCTTTTTGGAACGATGCTCTCATAAAGGTCTGCCTGAAAGAAACTCGGTCTCTCACCAGCTCTCCTGCCTTGTGCACTTTCATATACAAAGTATCATTCATATCATGTGCCCATCTTCATGTTGGTCAGCCCCTGCCCCTCTTTCCTGGTACATGCCTTCTGCTCTTATTTTTGTTTACAATCCGCTATGGTGCTTGATATGACTAAAATATTTCAGCTTCTGTGAAAAGATACTGTTTATTAGCAAATCTTCCCTGATATTTAGATCTTTTAAAATGTCATTATTTCTTCTCTTTGTCTTTTTTAACTAAATGTTGAAACAAAGAAAGAGCATTTGTCACATTTGGGTTGGTTTCATCAGGAAGATTCCATCGCACCTGGTATGTTACTTAGGGAGTTAAATAATCCAGAAATCTTCTTTTCTTTGTTTTGTTAAATGTTTCAGAAGAGTGTAACTTTTAAATTTTATATGATCCAGGTGGTAAAGGGCACAAAAAAATGATTTTGAGCCCAGAACAGCTGAGCGGATTAGTGGATATGGATGCAGTCAATGAAGAATTCACCCGCGTCTTAGAGGACTTGAAGGACAGGTTTATTCACCAGTTATCAGTCAGGACATCTCAAGGTAAGTTTTCTCAACCCAAACTCCTCTTTCTTCTTGTGCTTCACTTCTGCTGATGAAGCCTAGGCCCTCAGTCCTCTTATATCAAGCCCATTACAGACTTATTCATTATCATCATCTTCTTCTTCTTCTGCTTTGATCCTTCTCTCAAATGCTTTTTTGTCAGACAAGTAGAAAATGGTATGCAATACCGGCAGCTTTTTTAAATCGCTGCTGTAAAAGACATTTTGTGATGAGTACCGGCACCTTTTATTCTAGGGGCAAAGTCCTGCTTCTTTTAGAAAACTCAGCGGAAGGCCAGTAGCCTTGATGAGGGCAAAAATGTCACGCAGTGACATCTACGTGTGTACAACAGAGCTTTGTCATGACCGAGGTGGTAACACGCCAGATGGCATAATTGTTCCAAAGTGGCTGGATTTGCAGCTGAAACTGCCTGCAGGATGTGTTAGCCATTTCTACACTAACCAACTTTAGTTGATTCATGAAAGATTGACTGGTTCTGCACAGAAGGGTAGTGAATTTATGCTTAACAAGCTAGAGCTGGTCAGTGCCCTTTGGGAGCAAGCGAAGCATGTGGATACACGAATAGATCAATATGGTCTGGAGAGAATGGGTCAACTTGGAGTGCCCAGAGGATCTGATCACCACTCTAGACTCACAGGTAAGGCAAGATGGACATTTAAGGCATAAGGCACCTCAGTATTGGAGTGCTTTGCTGGCTGCTGAAGATGACACAGCGCTTATGGGAATATCATGAGTGCCGTGATACCAGTTCTTATCTCAACACTCCACTCAAGCATGTTTTGTTACATGTTACAGTGTTGCTGATCTGTACTTTCATTGTAGACTTTGGTAACAAATGTGCAGTACTCTTATTTCTTATTTTTCTGCCCTCTAACTCCTCCCCCCACACCCCCATGGAGCATTTGCCCTTAGCGAACTCATGCCAGGTCATCTTAGCCTATGCTCCCCTGTGTGGGTTCTACTGCTCCATTTCTGAGAACACAGAATAGACTTACTGCCCTTCTAGCAAGCATGTCATCGAAGGTGACCAACTAGAGGTGCTTTTTTCAGTTTGCAGTGCATCTGACTGAGAGGTGAGAACCAACAGTCTGCATACAAACAGATATGCACACAAAACAGGTTCTGGATCAAGACCAAAGTTCAGGAGTGGACGAACAACTATGTCTTTCTGTTGGAGTTAACATCATTTTGAGATACTTCAACAATTTGTTTCCAAATATGAACATCATGGATGGAATCTGAAAATAATCTTCTTTGATTGTTTACTAGGTGTGTTTGATAATTTGGTAATAAAGACCCCTGACGGAAACTTTCCTCTGATCCAGCTGGGTCAGGTGATTCAGAAATCTGCACAAATGTTGGCTATAAACATGACACCAAGTCCACAGGTGAGCTTCTCTAATTTTCTTGTAACTTCAGATTATACTATTTATATCTTTCTTACAGTAAAACTTGCATTGCTTAATGTTCAATTAAGAATCGACATCACAGCACTCGAGACACTCCCATAAGTGCTCAGTCCCTATCTTCAACAGCAAGCAATGGTACCAGTCATTGCTTAATAAGACTCATATCATAAGCATATCATGGATTTTCTGGCCAGGAGATTCTAGTGTACGGGGCAATGATAGACTGGCTGCTGCAGCACCTGTGCGTGGTTAACCACTTTATGATAAAATGGATGTGGTAACCTTATACTGTAGCTTAGGCGTTGCGAACAAGCTTCATAATGCTGGGGTGCCGGCTTCGATTCCAGCTATGGGCCTTGCGCCCTGCGTTAGTTTTGACAGTGGTATCGAGAAGTCAACCGTCCAGAAAGCAGGGGCAAACTACTGGACGTAAATTTGTCTAGAAAAACCACAACAGCCAAAAATTGCTGGGGTTGGTTCTGCAACGTCCTGTAAAGGATACACAATTAACTTCTGTCCTGTCTAGTGCCATTATATTTTTGTCACCTTTCGATACACTGGAATTTGTGTAGTCCCCTACTTTATGTCAAGATTATTGATTCTGTTCTGAATAAGCAGTGATTAATAAATGTTTGTGGTATATAGTGTAGACCGCTGAAGGCGATCTTGGATGTGGCGTATTTCTGTTGTGAAGAACAATTTGTTAATCCCCAGCAGTTTTTCTTGCTTGAACTCTTATCTGGATAAGAGGAATTTCTGATAAGATGAACCATTTCTTGTGTCTCCAGTGAGTTCTCTTTATCAGGTCTACACTGTATTAGAAATTGTTTATTCATTCTCTATGTTTGTGCTTCATACATTATATGGATTTGAGATTTGAGTTAAATATATTCTAAGCTTAGTATTTTTTGTGTGAAACAACACGGCCACACCCAGTAGACCTGACAACAACGTTTTGGGGAAACCTGAGAGACCTCGAGCTGACATCCATCTCTATGGGTTTAGGTTTATACAACGGATCAACGTCATGGCACAAGGGTAGTAATACAGGTGCTCCGTTCTACTTCTAACTCAAGCCTGAGTCTGAAATTTTCAGCACAGTGCACGAACTCCATAGTACCGGCGAGGATTTTGAAAAACTTTCCAGCACTGTTAGGCTACTCTTTTCGGTTTCCAACTGCAAAGGGATTTTTTGACATGCACAACAATACACACGGGCATCCAATCCTACTACCCAGATACCACAAAGACCTCTGGATGTGTTACCATTGTATCAGTATAACATTGCTCTCTGTGGTGCCCTGTCTGGTGCTAATCTCGTTACAAGGCCAAAGCACTTGATCTCTTATCTACCAATAAAGTTCAGTTGGTTCTATGCCGACTCTCCTCCTGATATCATCGTTCCTAAGTCAATCTTTCCTTGATATACCAAGCATAGTATGTAAACATTTCATTTCTGTCATGACTATTTTCCTGCTGTCTTCTGAAGACGATGTCCATGTTTACCATTGATAGTGTAGTGTTGCTAAGAATATTGTGTTGAACAGGCGGACAGACTGGCTGGCTCTGCACAACTTGGTGGAATACTGATACTTGATAAGTCAGACGTGGTTAGGGCCTTGTGGGAGAGCGTGTACAGTTTGGAGGAGCAGATGGATCACCACAGTCTGGTGAGATTGATGCAGTGGGGAGTGACGAGAGGTTCTGGCAGATGCTCGAGGCTCAGAGCAAAGGCAAGACGGACGTTTAATCAGAATGCTACTGGCACCATTAGTATCGGAACTCTTCGCTGGCTGCTGAAGATGTGGACGGAGCGCTTATGGGAATGCCCCGAGTGCTGTGATGTCGGTTCTTGAATCAAATCAAATCAAGAATATCGTGTTGAACAGTGCTCTTTTAGTGTACATATTCACGTGCTTAGCGGCGTCCGTGGCTAAGGCGTTGCGAGTCCGACTCGTGAGCCAGCACACCGCGATCGAAACCCACTGCAGGCTGCGTGGATTTTTGTCGTGGTATGGGACGTCGCAGGTGTACCCAGCCTAAAATGGGTACCAGGATGGGCTGTCCTGGGAAAGTAAAGACAGCCGGCGTAATGCTGACCACATTACCCACAGAGTGCTGATGGTCTGTAAAAATATGGGACGCTCTGCCCATATGCCCGATGCACCGAAAGGCGTGAAAAGGGATCTTTACTTACTTTACTTTTTATTCACGTGCTTGCATTTGCTTGTCAATTGTCTCCAGTATATTACACATGTCAAGACAGCTTTGGAAGAGTCAGGACTGAACATCAACCCCCAACAAGATGGCACCAGTTTGTTCATTGCATTGCCAAAGTGAGTTTCTAGACATAATCATCCTCTTTTCCTCATCCTTCTACCTCTGCTCTCCCTTATGCTTCTTCTTTTTCTACTCCTTCTGCTTCTTCTACTACTTTTACTTCTTCTCCTTCCTCTTTTGCTGGTTTGACTTTTTATTATTATTAGTATTAACCGAAAGACAGACAGATAGATAGGCATGCAGGCAACAGATAGATAAATAGAGAGATAGATTTTTTGATGACTGATAAGGTGTGCTGAAGTTTTTGTGTCAGATCCCATATTTTTGAAGACAGAGTGACACCTGAGAAGTAAGATTATCATTGTAACACTGACCACCTTGACTTAAACCAATCTCATGACTTAGTATTAAGATGGATTACCTAAAACACTCATCTTCTGCGGAATGAAACTATGACCACTGTGTTTGTCATAGAATTAAGAACCGGTTTTAATAGATTACGGTTGGCAGTAGTTTTTTTCTTGTCTCCTTCTCTGTAGGTCTCTTTCTCTTTCTCCCTTTGCTTGGACCCTCTCTCTCTCTCTCTCTCTCTCCCTCTCTCTCTCTGTCTCTGTCTCTCTCTCCTCATTCTTTCTCCTCTGTAGTCTCTATTTCTTATGCCAGTCTGATTCAATTTTTTTTCTCTCTCACTCTGTCTTTCTGTGTAAGCCTGCTTCTTTTTATACGCTCATGTGCTTCTCACTGTCTCATTCTAAGCCTGTCTCTTGTTTCTGTTCCTCTACCACATACATACCAGTACAAAGAAACAGTCACACTGTATGTATATATACATATGACATAGGCACATGCACACAGTCGTCTTGACTGCAGTACTGTCCACACAAAAATGAGGCTTCATCTGAGTAGTTCACCACTTTGCCTATGTAGGCTGTGTGCTCAAAATGCTGAACGTGTCCTGTAAGACTGCCCTTTGTAAGCCCATTAAGAAGGGAATACTGGCTCAGTGAGTCAACATAATACTCAAAGTTGTATGGAACTAAAGAAGATCTCTCAAAACGGTCAGATTCCTCACAAGAACTCGTCCATCTGTACAAATTGAGGAAGCAATACCAAGAAGAAGAATACAAATTATTATCCATTCTTCTTAATTGCATATCTTTTATAGGTTGTTGCAGAATCAACCCCAGCATTTTTTAGCTGTGGTTTGTCTAGGCAAATTCACATCCAGTAGTTTGCCATTGCTTTCCGGACGGTCAGCTTCTCGATAGCACTGTCGAAACCAGTGCAAGGCCCACAGCTGGGATTGAACCTGACATTAGGAAGCGCGTCCGCAATGCCAAAAGCCATAGACGGCGAATATTTATGATTAAGTTAAAGTTATTTGCGTATCCTTTACAGTACGTTGCAGAACCAACACCAGCATTTTTTGGCTGTTGTGGTTTTCTTAGGCAAGTTTACGTCCAGTAGTTTGCCATTGCTTTCTGGATATTTATGATTACACATATTATAATATGTATGATTATCCATTACATGTACCCTGTATCCGTAAAGTCACGGTGCACTTTTGACAGGTCACAGGAAATCAACAAAACAAGATAGAAATGTGAACTCTTCACCAAATGAAACGAAAACTCTCCAAGTAGTGTTGGGTCATCACCTGTGTACACACACGCTTACACATCATACTATGAAACTTGGAGAGTTTTCCATTTATTTGGTGCAAATTTAACATTTCTATCTTCCTTTGTTGCTTCCCTGTTCACAGTCAAAAGTGCACGATGACTTTACGGACACAAGGTATTTCTTTTTTTCTGTTACTACAGAATAACAAAAGAACACAGAGAGAACCTGGCAAAGAATGCTAAGATGTTGAGTGAGAAGTCCAAGAAACATCTCAGGGACATTTATTCAAAGTACTCCAAACAAATTAGATCCTCCAAAGAAGGTCATCCAGCAGACGTGGTTCAAGCAGCAGATGATATGGTAAACTTGTTGGCATCTTTTCTTCAATCTGTCAGGTCACATCTTCACCGTCTAAACTTGCTGGTATCTTTTCTTCAATCTGTCAGGTCACATCTTCACAGTCTAAACTTGCTGGCATCTTTTCTTCAATCTGTCAGGTCACATCTTCACCGTCTAAACTTGCTGGCATCTTTTCTTCAATCTGTCAGGTCACATCTTTACAGTCTAAACTTGCTGGCATCTTTTCTTCAATCTGTCAGGTCACATCTTCACCGTCTAAACTTGCTGGCATCTTTTCTTCAATCTGTCAGGTCACATCTTCACAGTCTAAACTTGCTGGCATCTTTTCTTCAATCTGTCAGGTCACATCTTCACAGTCTAAACTTGCTGGCATCTTTTCTTCAATCTGTCAGGTCACATCTTCACCGTCTAAACTTGCTGGCATCTTTTCTTCAATCTGTCAGGTCACATCTTCACAGTCTAAACTTGCTGGCATCTTTTCTTCAATCTGTCAGGTCACATCTTCACAGTCTAAACTTGCTGGCATCTTTTCTTCAATTTGTCAGGTCACATCTTCACCGTCTCCAACACGCCCTGTCACTTGTCTTGGGTGTACACTCTGTGAGACTCTTATGTATCCATCTCTTGATCTCAGCTTCCAACTTGTACCATTGCTTACCACTTGTCTTTGATTGCTTTTGTTTCATGATTTACAACCTATTTTTCTGTATAATCACATCTCCAGATACTCTCTTTAACTGTCAAGAAAATACTTGTAACACGCTCAGAAAGAAACTCTAATTTTTTTTTTTTAAAGAAAATAAAAAGGAAAAACTAGAACATCTTGTGGCAGCTGGAAACATGAAACATTTCAGAGAAACAGAACAGATTCTCAACTTTTTGTCGTGACGCAAAACATGATAACACCACATAGATTAGTGCATGTTTTTGGAGTTGCAGAGAAGCTCGATTCCCTCACGCCAGTTAGCACATCACGAGATGATGATGATCATGATAACCTGTTATGTTTTTGCTTTTGAGTAGTTTCCTCTTATTTGTTCTTAGTAACTTGTAGTGACTTTTCTCCAGCCTATTAGATAAAATGCAACACTTGTTAAATATTCTTTACAATCATCGTCATCAGGTGCCTTGCTGACTGGTGTGGGTGATCATGCCTGGATCTGCGATCTTACACTGCATTTTGTGTGCTGACACACACCCAATAAGCGTTCCCCCCCCCCCCCCCCCCATGCAATAACAAAAGACTGTCAAGAATCATCTCACATTGTCTTTCTCTGTCTCTTTTTCAAAAGATGTTTCTAGTAGTCACAGCATGTTCTAGTTTCCTTCTTCTCATAATATGGGCAAAAAAAGTATTACTTTTTTTTTTTTTTTTTTTGAAGTTACTTGTTGACATCTGGATCCTTTTTTTTTTTTTTGCTGTCCAAGGAATTCTAAGAATTCTACTCTAAAACCACATCTTTGAGGTCTCAAGGCTTCATTTGTTTGGCCCATTTATTAATTGTCCAGTATTCACAGCCATACGTTAAAACTGGCTCTACGTAGCAATCTTTACCACAGAAGCAGAATCTGTATCGTGGTGGATATATTTTTGTTCTGATGCTGGCCTTGGCTTCCAGATTGACCCAGCCCCAAATGGGTACCAAGTAATGACCTGGAACGCAAAGGTGGCCAGTTTGTTGTTGACCACATCACCCACCATGTGCGGATTCATCATCATCATCATCATGTGCCCTGCCAGGCAGCATAGACACTAATATGTCCCCCCAGATCTCAGTCCTGGATATTCTAAATCACATCCACTGATGATATTCCTCCATGTCACAGCTTTAGGCCGTCAAGCATTATCGTTCTTGTTTTGCCTCTGGGTCATCTACCATTGATCTTTTCAGTCATCATGTTCTCCTTTGCCTCTCTTCTTATCACAAATGCCTGTTGTTCTATACAAATTTGAGTCTAACATCATATGCCCTGTGCAGTTAGCATACAAATAAGGTTTTACTTCAGTGTGGAACCCGACTTCAGCTTTTTAATCCTTTACTGTGGAACCAGACTTCAGCTTTTTAATCCTTTACTGTGAAACCAGACTTCAGCTTTTTAATCCTTTACTATAGAACCAGACTTCAGCTTCTTAATCCTTTACTGTGGAACCAGATTTCAGCTTCTTAATCCTTTACTGTGAAACCAGACTTCAGCTTCTTAATCCTTTACTGTGAAACCAGATTTCAGCTTCTTAATCCTTTACTGTGAAACCAGATTTCAGCTTCTTAATCCTTTACTGTGAAACCAGACTTCAGCTTCTTAATCCTTTACTGTGAAACCAGATTTCAGCTTCTAAATCCTTTACTGTGAAACCAGACTTCAGCTTCTTAATCCTTTACTGTGGAACCAGACTTCAGCTTCCTAATCCTTTACTATGGAACCAGACTTCAGCTTCCTAATCCTTTACTGTGGAACCAGACTTCAGCTTCTTAATCCTTTACTGTGGAACCAGACTTCAGCTTCTTGATCCTTTACTTTACTGTGGAACCAGACTTCAGCTTCTTAATCCTTTACAGGACTTCCGGTTAAAATGGACGCTAGACAGCGGCGCTGTGTCGGAGCGGAGGCAAATTTTTTGCTTCTGCCGGACGGTGGCCGAAGTATTTTTGCTCCATTTGTAGACTGGATATAGTTTCGTCGCCCAGCTTCTGAGTTGAATGCATGGCGTGACCCTGTGAGCTGCGGATTGCATTTGGAATGTTTTTTCGACTGTGACCAACGTGGTGTGAATTGTAGATTCAGAAAATGGCGCGATGCCGGTCGTCAATGTTGGCGGTGCCCGTGTGTGATTACAATTGATCGCGTGGGAAACTGCTGATCTGTTGGCGACAAGTTCTGCTATCATCAATGATGAACTGCATTTCTAATGTTGGACTGTTTGTGTTAGCACTTCGGATGGCTACCATATGCTTTAATGCAAGTGTATGCTAGATATGCTGAGACAGCAATCTGTCAATCTTTCCACAAGGGACTGTGATAAACATTCTGGGTGTTTTTCGCTGGCACAGGAGCAGAGCAAAGATGGGGCGACCCGTTTGCTATGAAGCTGAAACTAAGACTACCAGACTACCAGACTAATCCTTTACAGTGGAACCAGACTTCAGCTTCTTGATCCTTTACTGTGGAACCAGACTTCAGCTTCTTTTCCTTTACTGTGGAACCAGACTTCAGCTTCCTAATCCTTCACTTTACTGTGGAACCAGACTTCAGCTTCCTAATCCTTTACTGTGGAACCAGACTTCAGCTTCTTAATCCTTTACTGTGGAACCAGACTTCAGCTTCTTGATCCTTTACTTTACTGTGGAACCAGACTTCAGCTTCTTAATCCTTTACTGTGGAACCAGACTTCAGCTTCTTGATCCTTTACTGTGGAACCAGACTTCAGCTTCTTAATCCTTTACTGTGGAACCAGACTTCAGCTTCTTAATCCTTTACTGTGGAACCAGACTTCAGCTTCTTAATCCTTTACTGTGGAACCAGACTTCAGCTTTTTAATCCTTTACTGTGGAACCAGACTTCAGCTTCTTAATCCTTCACTTTACTGTGGAACCAGACTTCAGCTTCTTAATCCTTTACTGTGGAACCAGACTTCAGCTTCTTAATCCTTCACTTTACTGTGGAACCAGACTTCAGCTTCTTAATCCTTTACTGTGGAACCAGACTTCAGCTTCTTAATCCTTTACTGTGGAACCAGACTTCAGCTTCCTAATCCTTCACTTTACTGTGGAACCAGACTTCAGCTTCCTAATCCTTCACTTTACTGTGGAACCAGACTTCAGCTTCTTAATCTTTTACTGTGGAACCATACCTCATGTTCGCAATCATTCACTGTACTGTGGAACCAGACCTCAGCTTGTCACTCCCGCTGTGTTGTGATAGTACCACATACTCTTAATTGCTGTGCTGTTCCTCAGCCCCCTACCCACCTTCTGTATGGAGTTGTAAAGAGTAACTCGTGTGTGGATTTTATTGTTTCAGTATTTGGAGCAGTTTGAGTTTAGTACTGCATACTTCATATCATGTATTTTTTTTTTTTTTCAAGTGTTTATTTATTTGATTGTCATAATGTAGTGGCTTATCTGTCATTTCATTCTTTGTATTGTCTTGTTTTGTTTTGCTAATTGGTGTAGTTTGCTTATAAAGGCTGTTAGGATGTATATATACTTAGTCTTTTTGAATAAGTTTGCAAAAAAAGAAATCTCAGTGCAGTTTATACCGTTATCAATCCTATAGCAGTTGGAAATCAGAGGTGTAAACTGTGAGGCTGCCGCACTGGCAAACTTGTTAGGGCTGGGGTTGTGCAAAATGGGCCGATGAGCAGATAGATGTGTTACCATGATGGGGCTGTCATGTGGTGCAGTAAATGTTTCAGATGTATGATCCAAAGTTGATATGTCTCAGTCTGAGAGGTGCCTAGCTTGATATGGCACACTTTTAAAAGAGAATTTTTTAAAGAGAATTATATACAAGAAGTCCCTATGTGGGTTCCAAGGCACCATGTTGGGAAAAGTGGTGGTGGTGGGGGGTTGATGGGTATTCCCACTAACTTCCAGAATGTTGTAACAAGTGATTTATTAAGGGTTTTGTTGAAATAAATTATGTTGGACTGAATGGTGCAGATATCACAGCCTAGCTGTAAACTCTCAACACAAATTTCCAAATATTTTTTCAGTGGCAAACACAGATGCAGAAGGAAGAAAAGAAGAAAGCAAAATGTAACTATATTTGAAAAAAAATTACTATATATTAGAATCATTTTTTTGGGTCAGTAAATTCAGACACAGTCTTGTTTCAACTTTCTTTCTTATGCTGCTGTTCCAAACTGTGTCCTTTCTAGTGATGTTATTGACCTTCTAAAGAGAGTGCATTTTACAGGTAGTTATTTTCTGTGCTTGTGTTCTATTTATTGTCCATTTTTGGTCCATGCTTAACTCCAGTACCAGCCACATAATTCTAACTTAGTCTCCCGGTCATTTCATATATAGCTTGTTCTCTGCCATCTCCAGTGATAGTTTCTGTGCTGGTGTTTCTTCCAGGTACAAGACTTGATGCATGACATGATACACAAAGTTGAGGAAATGACAGCGGCCAAACAGCAAGAACTACTTGGTGGAAAATAAACATTTTCATTCAATAAAATAAACTTAACTTTATTATAAAATTGTAGTGTCTTGTTGGTTTATTTTTTAGTAAATGGCAATTTTTTATGCAGTAATCTACCTATTTCATCTCTTTGATCTCAACCTGAGTGTTGAGCTAAGAATCGACATGGCAGCACCTGGGGCATTTCCATAAGCGCTCCGTCCTTATCCTCAGCAGAGAGTTTTAATTTGATGGTGCCAGTAGCACTTTATTTGTCTGTCCTGCGTTTCCTCTGAGGGTGGACTATAAGTGTAGACCGACGGTGGTCTTTGAGGGGAGGGTGGACTCTGAGGGTAGACTAAGGGTGGACTCTGAGGTGAGGGTGGACTTTATGGGTAGACTGAGGGTAGACTAAGACTGGGCTCTGAGGTGAGGGTGGACTTTATGGGTAGACTGAGGGTAGACTAAGACTGAGGTGAGGGTGGACTTTATGGGTAGACTGAGGGTAGATTAAGACTGAGGTGAGGGTGGACTTTATGGGTAGACTGAGGGTAGACTAAGACTGGACTCTGAGGTGAGGGTGGACTTTATGGGTAGACTGAGGATAGACTAAGACTGAGGTGAGGGTGGACTTTATGGGTAGACTGAGGATAGACTAAGACTGAGGTGAGGGTGGACTTTATGGGTAGACTGAGGGTAGACTAAGACGGCTCTGAGGTAAGGCTGGACTCTTAGGGTAGACTCTGATGGTGGAGTGTTGACCAGATCCCCTGGTCACTCCTAGCTGTACCATTCTTTCCAGACCATGATGATATATTTGTGCCTCCACATTATTCACTTGCTCCTAAAGGGTCTCAACTACTTATAGGTTGTCATACTTAAATTCAGCACCCATTCTGCAAAACCAGCCAGTCTGTCTGCATGGTCATTTCCCAACACTGCCACATACTCTGGAGAAAACACTAGCCAGGATGGTTAACAGCTAAATCAGACCAAACCTTTTCTTCTTCTTCTTCCTCTTCTTCTTTTTACCGGCAGTAAACTGGTCAGCTCTGGTTGTTCGTTCACTCCTGGACTTGAGTTCTTCATGCACATTTGTTTTAGAGATCAGGCTTACTTATATACAAGCTGTTGTTCTCTTACCTCTCAGGCAAATGCAGTCCAATTTTAAAGGAAACAACCCTAATTAGTTGCCTTTCTTAGTCTTGTTCATGAACCTGTGTTTTTTGTGCACATCCCTTTTACAGAACTGGCACATTTACATGCAGACTGTTGGTTCATTGCCTCTCAGGCAGATGCAGTCTAACTTCGAAGGAAACACCCCTAATTAGTTTACTTTTACAACATGATTATAGGGCAGTCAGTCAATTTGTTTTTCTTCCCCACGACAAAAATAGCCCAGAACCCACACAGAGGAATGTCCAAGAGGGATGGCAAGTTTGCTGTGTGCCACCCAACATTCAACGGTTTATTGGCAATAATAAACAATGTCCCTGCTTCTGATTCGTTGAACTTTTCAGGTCTCTTCCATACTGCCTGCATAGAGGGGTTCCTAGAAACTTGCATGGCGCTTATTATTGCTGTAAACTGTTGATAAACCGCACAAGAGGGACGTCAAGTCTGGTATGTGCCACCCCACATACAAAATTAGCAGAATAGGTAAAACCGACTGACTAATGTCATACAATAGCTCAGCAATATCTGACCAAAACCTGACATGGGATTTTGATAAAGTGCTTACAAACTGTTCTAAAAGAAGCATTTATTAGACAAACTATAATTTAGTCCACGCTGCATTTCTTTAGAGAGATAATGGCATCATATCTATTTTATATCAATGCCAGCACCTTTGCTTTCAAATGTTTTTAACTTTTGTTCTGTGTCTTTAACTGTTCTCCAACTTCCATTCTCCAGCTTCGATTCTCCAACTTCCATTCTCCAACTTCGATTCTCCAACTTCCAGTCTCATACTTCCATTCTCCAATTTCCACTCTCCAACTTCCACTCTCCAACTTCCATTCTCCAACTTCTATTCTCTAACTTCCATTCTCAAGCTTCCACTCTCCAACTTCTATTCTCCAACTTCCATTCTACAACTTCAATTCTCCAACTTCCAGTCTCATACTTCCATTCTCCAACTTCCACTCTCCAACTTCCATTCTCCAACTTCTATTCTCCAACTTCCATTCTCCTTCTAATCTTCAACTTCCATTCTCCAACTTCTATTCTCCAACTTCTATTCTCCAACTTCTATTCTCCAACTTCCATTTTCCAACTTCCATTCTCCAACTTCCACTCTCCAACTTCTATTCTCCAACTTCCACTCTCCAACTTCCATTCTCCAACTTCCATTCTCCAACTTCTATTCTCCAACTTCCATTCTCCAACTTCTATTCTCCAACTTCCATTCTCCAACTTCCATTCTCCAACTTCTATTCTCCAACTTCTATTCTCTAACTTCCATTCTCCAACTTCCATTCTCCAACTTCTATTCTCCAACTTCCATTCTCCAACTTCCATTCTCCAACTTCTATTCTCCAACTTCTATTCTCAAACTTCCATTCTCCTTCTAATCTTCAACTTCCATTCTCCAACTTCCTTTCTCCAACTTTCACTGGCATATGTAAAAACTGAAATAACATTAGAATCGAAAATACGTAACTGGGTTTTAATATATAATTTTGAGTTCCATAGTTTAGTTACACTTTTAGAAGCGTCTGATGCCTTGCCTTTCTGTGTGTTTCCCTGACTGGTAATATTACTAACTAAATGAGTAAACTGAGCTGGTACTTTTTGTGAACTCCAGGGATAAGGATAATATTTTACGAATATAGTAAAATCAGTGGCACATTAGGCATCATGTGCTAGACTGAGTGTTATTGTCAACGCCGAATAGATAATGTAGTTAACAGCATGAATGCTGCCTTAACTTTCCAAGACATTTCTTTGTAACCATCTCATACTGAGAACCAAGGTAAGTGTTACAGAAATTCGCCACATGACAGCATCGAATCCCAAACCGATGGGCTGACTAAACATATTGATCCCAAACTGTCCATTTTAATACATATTAAAGCCAGGCTCATGTTATCCATCGCTGAAAGATAGATTCCAGTATGAGACAAACAGAACTCAGAAAAAGACCAGCTAACGCACAATACAATAGAAGACCTATTCTCTTGAAAGTCACCGATTTGTGTTCATCGTTAACTTTTGCAGAATTCAGCGGTTTTAAAGAGCCTGCATTGAATAGTGTGAACCTTAACCTCTCTAGGGTTCCATTTTCATCCAAGCTTCGGAGCAGCTTCACAAGTGTCGCTTTGTAAAAAACACCCGAAGGAATTCCAATGAATGCTGGATAAATGATCATTAAATCATTCACGGCAAAGTATCGAATATCTGTATGGTTTGATAAAATGTTTCCATACCGTTCATTCAACAGCATCATACGACCACCAATGTAAACATAGTTTCCTGCAAGGATTCTCTTGGCATGAACTGAGGTATCTGTGCTAAACGTCATCGGATCTGATTCGTTGAACTTTTCAAGTCTCTTCCAAACTGCTTGCATATGGGTGTTCTTAGATGCTTGCATGGTGCTTATTATTGCCGATAAACTGTTCAGAGTGCCCAGTTTCAAATTCTTATTCTCATCGAGATCCTTTATTGAATTGATGGTCAATTCCTGAGGTCTGGCCACAAATGAAGTAACAAGATAGGCACTGTAGGCTGACCACATTATAAGATAGAATAAATGCCCCGATGCTATCAAAATGCGCTCGCTGTGCAAGGAGCTGGGATCCATTTTTTTCAAGCAAGCGGGACCGATAAACGACCTGAACTTTTTGAAACTGAAATAAACAAAATAAAAGGATCAGTTTAACACGTATTATTTTTTTTACTTTATTCTTGTTTAAAATCGCCTTTCTACACATTAACTTGTGTAGAATTCTAATTACATAAGCTTGCGATTTTGGGCACTAGCCAGCGGGTGCTCAGAATCAGAACTTCTACATATAGTTCATAGAAAAACCCTCCCAGGCGATGTGAATGTCGTCTATAAAGATGCGCTTTGTGTTGAAATGCAGGAGCGCATATGGGTTCATAGTAAAAGTGAATGAACGTTACTCGGTGCGACAAAGCCTGGCATAGGATACGACACTATCTAGAATGAGAATGGAGGTGAAGGTGGTCACTATAGTCTTCTGCTGGTTTGAGAAATAGCTGCACATACATGTGATTGTAACTTACTCGCAGCGCATGTTGCGAAAGATAGAGGCAGGTATGCACCTTGTAGCGTGACAAGCATCGTTTCAGAGCTCTTGGATAGTTAGCGACCTTTGGATATTTTCTCCAGGGTATACCAGTGTGTTGGGAAATGAATATACAGTGAAACAGGCTGCTTCTTCACTACTTGGTGGTTAACTGATGCATAGCCCCCCAGATGGTGTAAGGACCCTTTGGGAGCTAGTAAAGAGTGCTGAGGCACACAAGGCGATCCTGGCTGTCTCAGGAGAATGGTGTAGCGAGGCGTGGCCAGGGAATCTGGCTGGCGTTCAACACTCAAGGGGCAGGGGCGAGAGGGACATGCAATTAAACTGTTACTTGTAACACTGAAAAATGGATATCTGCGCTTGTTGCTGAAGCTGGGGACGGAGCGTTTATGAGAATGACCCGAGCGCTGTGATGTTGACTCTTAACTCACGACTCTCAGACGAAAGTCTCAGGATTATTTACCACAAGCTGAATAGACGTTTGCTAAAAGTGATCCATCAGTATCAATAAAACTTCTTCACTTCCCGAGAGATTTCCTGGCAAACATTTTATACTGAGAACCATGATAATTTTTATTTTAAACAAATTAGCCACACTACTTGTTGAAATCCAAAAGCTTTGGTCAGACTAATATAAATATACTGCTACCAAACTGTCCAGTTTAATACATATTAAAGCCAGGGTTATATCATCCAACGCCGAAAGAAACATTCCAGTGTGAGACAAACAGAACTCAGAAAAAGACCAGCTAACGCACAGTACA